TCTTTCTAAGAAAAGGGCACGCTGATTTTAATGAGACTTATTTGAGAATAGTCATGTTCGCAATGTTTTATTTCTATATATTCCCCTAGAAAAAAAAATAATTAAATAGTTAATGCTTGCTAAGGGAGATGTAGGCCTACAAAGGGAATTTGATCTAAGGCTTTTCCAAAAAACCACTAGCCGACTTGAATCTCCATGAGGGCCAGGACCATATCTGTTAAATTCTCCTCCAAATAGTAAATGCCCAGCACAGACCTCGTAGCTTATGAAGTTTGGCGTAGGTCAGCCCCTGACTGACACGCCGGCCTTAGCTCTACCCCATTTTCCTTCATGCCTACACTCTGTTTCCGCCACAGTGACCCTCTCTTAGTCGCTCATAGTCGCCTGCGCAGGGCCCTTTCTCATGCTGCTCTGTCTGCCTGGAGCACCCCTCTAGCCCCTCCTCATACAGTTAACTCCCGCTCAACTTTCGGATCCCACATCACTTCCATGAGGGTGGGGCGTATGTCTGCTGTTGCTCCCGATTGTACCCCCAGCATCTAGCACAGTGCCTCGCACGTGGCACACATTAAATACACGTGTGACAAGTGGATGAATGAGAACTGGGGGGAAGCAGGGACGGGGATGAAAGTGGAAGTCCTAAGGGTAAAGACGCCGGGGTTTGTAGGATAAGAGAGGACATGCGATCGAAGCTAATAATATTCATTTTTCTATTGCTGCTGTAACACATTATCACAAACTAAGTGGCTTAAAACCACATAAATCCGTTATCCTTCAGTTCTGGAAGTCCAAATTCCGAAAGTCAGGGCTATGTTCCTTCCGGAGGCTCTGGCGGAGGACCCAATTCCTTGCCTTTCCAGCCACTTGCGCCTCTTGGCTGGTGGCCTTGTACCCGCCTGACTTTTGCTTCCGTAGTCACATACTTCGCCTAATCATGACCCTCCTACCTCCCACTTATAAGGATTCTTGTGGCTACACTGGACCCACCTAAATAATCAAGGACAATCTCCCCACGATCCTTGACGTAATCACATCTTTGAAGTCCCTTTTGCCAGGTAAGGAACCATAGTCACAGGTTCCAGAGATTAGGACATCACGTGTGGGGAACCAGTATTCTGCCTACCACGGAAGGGTAAAACCACGGAGCCTGCTGATGTGACCTTCACCGTGGAAAATTCATCCAGACAGACCACGCGTGCGTCCTGAGACCTGAGTGCCAGGCCCCAGGATGTAGAGGTAAAAAACCTGATCCCTCGTGGGAGGAGCTTGTGGTCTAGTCTGGGAGAGAATGGGTCATAACACAGTGGGATGAGAACTCCGAGTAGGGTATGATAAGGCTGCGTGGGGGCCGCAGATGGGTCAGGCAAGAGTCTGCAGGGAAAACAGGGTCTGACAGGATCTAAGGCCCGATGAACAGAGTCAACCAGGCAAGCTAACCTGTCTATACAGGTGTGATACCATGCAGATATATTCCCGTCTCACGACGAATATCTTGGGAACTCTGAGCATTTATGGGTGACAAATAAAAGAAACTGCCACCATAAACTGCTTTGCAAATGATAAATGAGATAATGTTTCCCTTTGTCTTCCCAGCTTAAAAGAGAATGTGGGGCCAGGCACAGTGGCTCCCACCTGTAATCCCAGCACTCTGGGAGGCCGAGGTGGGAGGATTGTTAGAGGTCAGGAGTTCGAGACCAGCCTGAGCAAGAGCGAGACCCCATCTCTTCAAAAAAATAGAAAACATAGCTGGGCATGGAGGCTGAGGTAGGAGGATCCCTTGAGCCCAGGAGTTTGAGATTGCAGTGAGCTATGATGACACCACTACACTCTAGCTGGGGTGACAGAGCAAGACCCTTTCTCGGAAAAAAAAAACCAAAAACAAAAACAAAAAACAAAACAAACCAAAAAACCCCCAGCAGTTAAATTAATAAATTCAGGAGAAACTGGTCAGGTTAGCCAGGATTGGGGAGAAAGAGAGGCAAAACAAGGAGAGAAAACAGGCTGCAAAATGGAGTGGTTTGCGTTATTTTTACCACAACTGTGAGAGCAGCCAAGAGCACAGGGGCACACAGACCAAACGCAGTTATTAGGGTCGGGGTCGAAGCTCTACTGCGCACACTCCACTTACCAGTTGCCCTGGCAACAGACCCCAACTTTGGCCTAAGGACGGTTCAAGGAGGACAGCTGCATGCAAATAAAGCTGTAATTAGGGACGGAGCTCTCTTTGGTCTGACTTTGGTCTACCTTTGGAGAAAAGCTGAGGAGGACTTGGAAGAGGTTTCCTGTCTGACCAAGAGTAATGTTCATAATAGTTTGAATGATGAAGAGTTGCTTAAAAGTTGAGCTGGAAGCCGGGCGTGGTGGCTCACGCCTGTAATCCTAGCACTCTGGGAGGCCGAGGCAGGTGGATCGTTTGAGCTCAGGAGTTCAAGACCAGCCTGAGCAAGAGAGAGACCCTGTCTCTACTAAAAGTAGAAAAAATTTGCAAGTCAACTAAAAATAGAAATAAAAAATTAGGTGGGTGTGGTGGCTCTGTAGTCCTGTAGTCCCTGCTACTTGGGAGGCTGAGGCAGGAGGATCCCTTGAGCCCGGGAGTTTGAGGTTGCTGTGAGCTAGGCTGACACGACGACACTCACTCTAACCCGGGCAACAAAAACGAGACTCTGCCTCAAAAAAAGAAAAAAAAAAAGTTGAGCTGGAGCATACACGATGGAAAAACAGCGAGAACTTCTTCCGGCCTGGGAATCTGGTAGAAATCGGTGTTACACAGTGGCTAACATTTACTGAGCATTTTCTATGGGCCAGTCACCGTTTCAAACACCTTATGTGTATTATCCACTTAATCCTACAACGATCCTATGAAGGAGATATTATCAGTGCACCCATTTTACAGTCAAGGCAACCGAAGCTTGGGGAAGGTCGCTTTCCAAATGTCCCAGGGAGTGAGTGGCAGCCCTGGGATTAGAACCCAGGTCTTCCGGCTTGGAAACCTTAACCACCGACGGCGCCTACCACTCAGCTGGGTGGCCCTGGGGAAAGCCCTCAAAGAAGCTACAGGGCACAGCACAGGGTTGAAGGACGGTTAAGCTGGGCTTAGCCAGCAGGGCCGTGGGACTCCAGGAAAGGACAGTCCAACCCCAGGGATTCCAGGTTCTCCTCCGCCACTCTTCGGGAAGTCTCCTCTTGCAGGTGTGCACATCCAGTTCCCCTGGGGCTCAGGGCCCAACGCCGCCAGGCGCGCGGTTCTGGCTGCGCCAATCGAACGCCACCAACACACCCAGGGAGATGAGGACCAGGCCGGCCAGCCCCAGGCGAACGAGGTTCCCGCGGGTGTAGTCCGAGAAGCCAGAGTCTGCGGGCGGAGCGGAGAGAGGGAGGCCATCAGCGCCTGGACCTGAAGTCTGCGCCCCACCACTCCGGTTTCCACCCCCCGGGGTGGAGTTGGTAACCGGAGTCCCCAGTCTCAAAGTTCAGGGTGAGTTGATGAGGGCTTCAACTCCAGGGTCTGAGGGAGGAGGGATTGGGGGAGGACCCCTGGGTCTGAGGGAGGAGGGACTGGGGGGAGGGACTCCTGGGTCCGAGGGAGGAGGGACGGGGGGACTCCTGGGTCTGAGGGAGGAGGGACTGGGGGGACCCCTGGGTCCGAGGGAGGAGGGGCGGGGGGGGACTCCTGGGTCTGAGGGAGGAGGGACTAGGAGGACTCATGGGTCCGAGGGAGGAGGGACTGGGGGGGACCCCTGGGTCTGAGGGAGGAGGGACTGGGGGACCCCTGCGTCCGAGGGAGGAGGGACTGGGGGGACCCCTGGGTCCGAGGGAAGAAGGGCTGGGGCGCGGGCCGCAGGGCCCCTCACCTTCCGAGCTGATGACCAGCGGCTCGCTGCGCTGCGACAGCACGTAGGGGGCGGAGGGCGTGTGGTAGTAGCAGCTGTAGGTGCCGGGGGCGCGCGCGCCGAGCAGCGGGAAGTCGGCCCAGGGCTGCGCCGAGTCGCGGTACTGCAGCGGGGCCGCGGCGCCCACGCGGTACAGCGCGAAGCTCATGCCCCGCACGCGGCCGGCGCAGCGCAGGCTCACGTTGGCGCCGCGCGCCACCACCGGGCCGGGCAGCGCCACCAGCGACGGCCGCGGCAGCTGGTCTGCGCGGGGGACGGACGGGAGCCCTGAGAGCTGGGCGCCGCGTGCGCGTCCCGCTTCCCTGTCCCCGCCCTCGCCTCGTCCTCCCCCAGGTTCTCCGCGCCGTCCCTGCTTTTGTGCGTCTGTGTCCCCAGCCCTCCTGTGTCTGTCTCCGAGCACGCCTTTCTCTGCCTCCGTCTCCCTCCACTCGCAGGTCTTTCCCTCCGGTCTGTGCCTCACTAAATTCTCCGTGTCTCTGTCTCCCCGTCCGTGCTTTCACTCCCCCAGGGTCCTCATTGTGTTTCTGTGCCTCTCCCCGGGTTTCTCGACATAGCGCTGGTGACGTTTTGGAGAAGTCTTTGTCCCTCGGGGCCGCTGTCCCCTGTGTTGTGGGATGTTGAGCCGCAGAGCTGGGCCCATCCACTAGATGCCAGTAGCAGCCCCCTCTCCAGTTGTGACAACCAAAAATGTCTCTGCATAATGACAAGGATCACCTGGGGGGCATGAGTGCCCCTGGCGGAGAACTGCCCGTTTCTTGGGAGTCACTCCCTACCTCCATGTAGCTTTTTTCCCTCTGTGTCATTGCGTAAGCCTGTGTCTCTCTGTCTCTCTTTGTATCTCTCTCCCTGTATCTCTTCTCCCTCCATGTGTCTGTGAATCTATCAATCTCTCTACCCAGCTCTGTCTCGCTTTCCCTGTACCTCTCTGTCCCTTCTCCCCACCTGTCTGTCTCTGTGCTTCTATCTGTGTGTGTATCTTCAGCTCTGAAGACACATCTCTCTGTCCCATTGCCTCTCTCTCTCCCTCCTCTCCCCTCCCTTATGACACCGCTGTGCGGGGTCTCCTCCCCGACCCCAGGACCTCACCTGTCACCAGCAGTTCCAGGTCATCACTGGGCTGGGACCAGACACCTGGCTTCCAGTCAGGCCTCCGGTAGCAGCAGCGGTAACTGCCTCCTTGGGCCGGAGTCACCTCCTCCAAGAAGAACTCTGCCAGCTCTGAGGACACATCCCTGAAGAGCAGGGGGCCTATCTCTCCAGGCTTGAAAAGTGCAAACCTCCAGGCAACTTCAGGAGCTCGGCACCTCAGGGTCACATTGACCCCAGGGGTCACAACTGCAGCCGGCTGAGCCCCTAGCCATGGCTTGGGGTATGAAGCTGGGGGGACTGAATAAACGGAGCGTCCTGGGTCCTCAGGCCGCCTGGGAGTCCCACAAAATGAAGGAGAAGTTGGGGAAGGAGGAAAATCACCTTGGGCAATTGCTGCCCCTTTTTCGGCCTGAGTTCCCTGTTTGTAAAATCAGGGAGGGACTGGACTACAATCAAGGCTTGTCAAAATTAGCATCAACTTCTGAGCTTTACTCCACAGTTTTTAAGCATGGTTTCAAAGGGTGGGACCCCAGAACTTTATAACTTTAAATAGCTTTCCAGAACATTGGCAACATATTTAACATTTCAAGAGTTGCCAAAACTTGCTATCTATTGGGGGGAAAAATAATTCTGGAACTCTACCTCACACCATTCCGCCAGACAAATTCCAGATTAATTAAAGACCTACATGTGTTTTGTTTTTTAACTATAGGAAAAATATAGAAACTATAGGAAAATATATTTATCTTGGGGTAGGGAAGGCTTCTTAAAATATAAAATGAAAAATTTTATAGCAGATTAATTAATTTGCCCACTTCGAAATTTTTAAGTTGTGATGCTAAAAGACAAACAAATGAAACTAGGAGAAAATGACAGAACTGGCAGAAATCACTTTTTCATAAATCGCATAGATTAAGCCTATAGAAAGAAATCCCAGAACCTACCCGACTGAAAGTTGGGCAAAACATGAATAGGCAATTCACAAAAGAGGCAATTCACAATTCTCAAAGAAAAAGTTGCTCAATCTTAGTAGTGATCATTTTGAAAAATAACTGAAGCAACACATTATGGTATTTTTGTCTATTAGGTTATCAAAAATTAAAACGATGGTCAGGTTGGTCCTAGTGCAGTGGTGTTTACAACTAATTGATCACAACCAGTTACAGATTCCTTTGTTCCTTCTCCACTCCCACTGCTTCACTTGACCAGCCTTAAAAAAAATAATACAAAATTAAAAAATTAAAAAATGGTTAATATTCAGTTTGAGTGAATATGTACTGAAACAGGCAGTCAGAAGCACTTCGAGTTCATGTTTTGAGAAGGCAATTTGCCAGTTTCTATCAAGATACACAAAGGACATGAGCAAGGACCCAATAATTCCACCGCTCGACAAACACACATCCATGTGCACAAGGAACTAGTACAGGAGTGTTCTTTACAGCATAGATTGCGAGGGTGAAAGCAACCTATATGTACATAAAGAGGGGAATGGCCAAACAAACTAGAATCTGGCCATACAATGGCAAATGCTAGTCAGTAATTTTTAAAAAAATAAAAAAAAGAATAGGTACAACTAGCTATAGTGACATGGAAATATGTCCAGGAGAAATTGTAAAGTGAAAAATGTCAGATGCAAAATGGTGTGAATCATGAAACATCAATTTTGCATTGGAAAGAAAAAAAAGTATATAAATACATATACATGTGTGTCTGAACGCATGGAAAATTTTTTATAAGGATTCAGAAGATTATTTAAGGACGATGGGGAAGGGGAAGAAGGAGGCTGTTATATATCCTTTGGTAATGACTGAATTTTTAAAACCATGAATATATATTAGTATATACTAACTTTATCATTTAAAAAAAACTAATTTAAAATAAATGGATAAGGCCAGTCACCATAGCTGACGCCTATAATCCCAGCATTTTGGCAGGCTGAGCCAGGAGGATAGCTTGAGTCCAGGAGTTCAAGACCAGCCTGGGCAACATAGTGAGACCCCATCTCTACAAAAAAAATTTTTTTAATTAGCCAGGTGTGGTGGCACATGCCTGTAGTCCCAGCTACTCAGGAGGCTGAGGTGGGAGGGTCACTTGAGCCAAGGAGTTCGAGGCTGCAGTGAAGTACGATCATGCCACTGCACTCTAGCCTGGGTGACAGTGAGACCCAGGCTCAAAAATAAAATAAAATAAAATAAATTGATAGCTAAGGTATTAATGGCTCCTTGGGTGATTCTTATTTGAAGTTGCAGTGGGAGAAGGTTTGAGAGGAAAGAAAGGTCTCACCCATCAGAAAACCTAGGAAGAAACCCAGCACTATCCCAGGGTGGGGGACCCTACTTTTGTGGAAAGTGGGTTCCAAATGGAGGAAGTTGGGAACTAATTATAATTGCAGGAGATCCTATCTCTTGTTTTGTTTTGTTTTCCAATCTTACTTCTTGTCTCGTAGATCCTATCTCTCAAGCCCTGCACTGTGCCAAGCTCTGAGGCAAGGGTTTTACACATGTGATTTTATTAAATCCTCACAACAGCCCATTTTACAGAGAAGGAAATGAAATCTTAGCAAGCTGTGGTCTGTTCAAGGTCATATTATGAATTAGATAGTGAAACTGAGGTTCTAGCTTAGGTCTCTTTAGCTCCAAAGTTCGCAGTCTTCACTACTCACCTACAGTGGTCACTAAAGGGACTGAGGAAGGAAGGGAGGAAGGAAAGGAGGGAGGGAGAAGAGGAGTAAGGAAAAAAAGAAAAAAAAAGGGGAGAGAGGAAAAAAAGGGAGGAAAAGAAATAAGGAAATCGGGGGTGGGGTTGGGCACCAAAATAAAAATCTGAGTAGTTGGAAATGGGGTGTCAGCGATGGTGAAGGATGTTACTCACCAGATGGAGTGATGTCTGCGTGACACAGAGGCCCTGTAGAAGGTTGAGGGGGTTAGTTCTTCTCAAAGCCCTTTGGCTACCAGTCCCATCTCATGGGGAACCCAGGAATCTGAGTCCTCATCTCCCTTTCCTCTGGGAAACAAGAATCTTATCCTTACTTCCTCCTGCCTCAGTAGCCCAAAATCCAGACTTTGTTCTCCACCTACTTAAGAAGCCAGAAGTCTGGACCCAGCCCAGTCTTGCCTCTATGCCCAGGAGCTCGGGGCTCCATCTTTGCAGGGGACAATAACCTGAGCTTGCAGTTTCTCCTCCCTGGTTCAGGAGGCTGAGCCCCCAGCCCCTCCTTTCCCAGGAACTCAGGACTCCTAACTTTCATCCCCCTTCGATGTCAGAATCCAGAAGTCTACACTCTTTGGCCTCAAAATTCAGGCTCTTACCTGCTTCCTGCCTCAAGATCCATAGAAATCTGTCCCCAACTCCTTCCTCTTCCAGAATCTGTCTTCTCCTGCTTTAAGACCCAGGGGTCTGGGCCCCAGTCCTGTCTTCTTATTTGGACCTAAAATTCCAAACCCCCAGCTAGTGCTGTCTGGTTACCCTGCAGGGTGTCTGGGTCCCCTAAGCACCTCTCTTTGCCCCCCCAGCCCAGCCAGGGACCCAAGAAGAAGGAAGGGGCAGCTCACAGAGAGTCAGCAGCTGGAGGGTGAGCACCAGGGCCATGGTGGGCAGATCTCCGCGGGAGCTGGATCTGGAGCTGGAGCAGGGCTCACCGTGCCCTCTCCCTTCCCAGGAAATGTGGCAACATCAGAAATCCAGAGCCCTGTTTAGGGAAGAGAGGAGCGAGGTGGGGCCTCTGGGTGATTGTGTCATAGCCCTATGGTGCTGTGGAAAAAGTTGGGGGTAGGGGCAGTCATAACCTGTGGTGCACAGTAATTCAACTTAAAAAAAGATTAGCACCTATTATATGCCAGCTCCCTGCTGCGTGATGCTGGTGGCACAGAGAGGACTCAGACCCCGTTACTGCCCTCGAACAGTTACCAGTTTGACTGAAAGATCCAGACCAGGTCAATTAAGTTTTTTTTTTTTTTTTAAAAGGGGATCTGAGCTATAATGGCGGTAACATAGGGCACTGTGAGAGCCCACAGGAGTCTCCTCCACCCATCTGGAATGAGAGCTAGCGCTTCCAGAACGAGCTAATGCTGACCTGAGACCTCAAATGATAGGTCATTCATTCACCACTGGGCCTCAGTTTCTTTACGTGTAAAGTGGGATTTCATACATAAACTATAAAATGGGGACTATTTTATTCTGCCTTAGGGGGTCCGTAGCAGGAGGACTGGAATTCCAGGCTGAGAGAGAAAGGAGAACACGGGCAGGTGTGCAAAGTCAGGCTTGCACGCAAACCGCCTCCTTTCTCGCCGCTGCCTCGGACTCCGGCTCTGCGCCAGTGCGCACGCGCAGACTCAAACAGCGGGGCCTCGCGCGCAGGGACCACAGCTCCCAGAGGCCTCCGCGTCCTCGCTTCCGTCTCGGCGCCTCTTCTCCAGTGCGCACGCGCGACCCGGGAAGCGGAGCCTCGCGCACAGGGACCACAGTTCCCAGAGTCCTACGCGTCCTCGCCGCCGCCGCTGAGACCAAGATGGCCTCAAGTAAGTGCCGGCGTCGCCGGCGCGCGGGGTTCGGGTAGTTCCGGGAACCCCCGCGCAGTCCCCGGGCTAAGCCGCAGTGGAGTACTCGTGGAGGCGGGTGGGGTCTGTTCCGAAGGGAGATGCAGAAGTCTCGAGGGGGCTTCTGCGGGGCGGGGGTAGTACAAGAAGGTTAGAGGTCACTGCGGGCAGCCCCTGCAGGGGTGAACCTCCCGCCCACCCCTCCAGGACTCGCCACTTTCCTCAAGAATGCTTGGGACAAGGAGCCGGTGCTGGTCGTGTCCTTCGCCATCGCGGGCCTCGGTGCGTGAGTGCCTCAGGCGCGAATTTGCATTATCCACCCCCGTCCCCCAAAAGGTCCCACCGCCCCTCAGCAACATTCCATCAGCCCCACCCTCGCTCCATCTCGTACCCCCTCCGCCAGCCCCGTCGCTGCTCCCCGCTTTCTGGGCCCCCACCAGCGTGTCAGCACCCCCACGACGTCCCCTTGTCTGCCCCCATCCCAAGCATTATAATTTCACCACCACCACCACCCCTAGCCTTCCCCGCCCCATACACGCCTACCCAAGACGCCCTTAATCCCTCTAAAGGAGAGGTTCCCAATCCTGTTGTACAGCATCAACACTGAGCGCTAAATAAATAACGTCCATGTTTTCTTCCCTTTCACCGTCCCGCACCCCCTAGATAGTGAATTGAGTTGACTGGGTTGGAGGTGGGGCTGGGGAATCTGTGTCTTGAGAAAATACCCCAATGGTGCTAATGTGTCTCCTTGATTGAGAACCTTTGCTCTGGAACGTGTCGCTCAAATTTTAATGTGCACTGGAGTCCCTGGGGATAAATGATAAAATGTAGGTTCTGATTCTGTAGGTCTAGGTGGGGCCTGGGATTCTGCCAGTACTGCCAGTCTGCTGGCCATACGCTAGGTAAGGTTCTAGAACACATGTCCAGTATGGCAGCCACACCTGGCTACTGAGCGCTTGAAGTGGGGCCAGTACGAATCGAGGTAGTAAAGACACCGGATCTCAAAGACTTCATGTGACAAAAAGTATGGAAACTATCAACAATTTTTTGTTGAATATATGTCAAAATGATAATGTTTTGGAGAAACCAATTTAAATACACTTGTTAAAATTAATGTGGCTTTTAGAAAATATAAAATTACATATATGGCCCTTATCTTTCTACTGGACAGTGCTAGCCTAGAACGTTCCTTTTATGCACCCTACCCAACCCCCCAGGACTCCCAGCTCCCATCCTAGACAGACTGTAAGGACCGTAACTCATCAAGTGACTGTTCTTTGTGCAGCTGTCTCTCCCCAAGTTTGAAAGTCTTTAGTCTTCTGGAATATTCCCAAGATACTCCCCCGGATGCTCCATGATGATGCCTACATTCAGATGCACTCATCCGTGATCACCACTTGCTCCCACCTGTCTGCCTGTTGGCCAGATGTATCCGTGCATGCTGGGCTCCCGCCCCGTCCTCCACCTACCCCTCCAAAAAAGTTTTAAACCCTTCTACCTATAAATAGAGTTCCCAGGGTACCAAGGGGCCCTACAGAGCAAAGGAGCCTCGTAGAGGGGCTGGCTCCACTGCTCCCTCCCCTAATACACTTGACCTCAAGTTCTCCCTTGTCTCCCCCAACCCCAGCCACCTTCCCCTAGGCCTCAACCCTGTGTCTCTCCACAGCTATAATTCTGCCCCCGCTCAGCCCCTACACCAAGTACGCTATCATGATCAACAAGGCCACGCCCTACAACTACCCAGGTGAGTAGGGGCCAGGCAGGGCTGGCTGGGATAGGCCTGGCCTCTGTGCCAGGGGAGGGACAGTTATGGGCAGTTCTTTCCTAAGCAGGGAGCAGGGATGGAGCACTGGCATCTGGACTTTTTCCCTGTCCAACGATTTTTTAATTGAGATATAATTCACATATGACTCTGTTTTTGTGCTTTGAGTTTCTATTATCTTTCCAGATACCTATCCCTCTCTGCACTCCCACCTCTGTTGCTCTCTGGGTCTCCATCTGTCCAGTCTCAGTTCTGTTGGCGAGCATGCTTACCACCCGCCTACTTTCCCTCCCTCCCTCCATGTCTCTAGGTCTCTGACCTTCCCTGCTTCTCTTTGTATCATTGATTCTCTGACCTTTACTCTCCTCACTCATCTCTCCCTGGGGTCCTGTTTCCCTCTCTGAATATAAACTGCCAGACCAGCTCTTTCCAGGGCCCTGGAGATCTGCTGGTCTCAGTGGCCCACCCTCCTGTTCCACAGTGCCCGTCCGAGATGATGGGAACATGCCTGACATCCCCAGCCACCCCCAGGACCCCCAGGGCCCAAGCTTGGAATGGCTGAAGAAACTGTGAACACCTCCATCTACAGGGAGGAGGCTCCCCCTCCCCATGACCCCCAATAAAAATGTGAAAACCAACCCCAGAACGCGAGCTGTGTGTGATTAGAGGTGGGAATAGGAGACAGCACCAAGGTGAGTGTGGGGGGCAGTTTATTGGTGGGTCAGTCAAAGGGTGGGCTGGCTAGGGTGGGGTAGGGCAGCAGTTTGTCTGGCCCCCGAGAAACCCAACTGGAATCCAGGGCCTCATCTGCTTCGAAGCCAAAGTCTTCCTCGACCTTAATCTGGGGGAGATAAGAAATAAGATAAGGAACCAGATAAGGGAAAGGCCTGGGAATCTATGAAATGCCCATCAGCCTCGCCATTCTTGCTTCCCCAGGCGAGGCAACTTCCTCTGCGCACCTCACAGGCGATCCCAGTGTTCCTAAGTCCAGACGTTCTTCAGCTTTTCCCCTCACCCGCCGCCTTTTCCACGCCATTTTCTCCAATCCTTCCTCCTCTGCTCCGACCTTCTCCAGTTATGTTTCTCCCTCTCCAGGTCTTCTTCCTTCCCTTTCCAACTTTGCCTCCTTTTCTATCCAAGCCTTTGCCTGACTTTTTCCAACCCTTCTCATTCCCTGCCCAACCCCGGGCCTCCTCTGCCCCTTCCTGCTTCACCCACTTTCGCCACAGCTCTCTCCCCCCAGCCTCGGGCCCTTGTGGCACCGCAGCGAAACCCAGGAGAAACCCGGAGCCCTGACGCCGCCTCAGCCCTGGGCTCCCCCTCGCCCACCTGCACTGGGGCCAGCTCTGGGGTCAGCGCCGCTCCCGCTCGGCGTCCATCCCGTGGCGCTCGCCGCCTCTTACGCCCGCTGGGCCCCTCACCAGGGGCCGGGCTGCTGGGTTCTGGGGGTATGGGAGTCCTTCTGGGTGGGGACAGCCCCTCCTTCTCTGGAGGCTCATTCTCAGCATTGCCTGGGGTGGGAGCATCTGTGCCCTGGCTGCCCTCGTCCTGGTGGGTGGAGGGGGAGGCAGGTGACGGTCATGCCCGGGGTTCCTGGTTCCCCCCACCTGCCGGGAAACCCAGCACTCACCTCCAGCACGATGGTGAACTGGCTGGCCCGGTAATCATCCCCGTAGGAGTCCAGCACTCTCATGAGGAACCTGCTCAGAGAAATGGAATAAATTCTCTTCCACTGTTTGGGAAAAAGGGACGGATGATAGAGCTCAGCTCTCACTCCATCTAAAGCCAAAGCTGTCCTCGACCCAGAAGGTTCAGAGCTGTGGAGTCGGTTTGAGAGGCCTGGAAGCTGAACACTTGACCAGCCAGTGGGACCTTGGGCAAGACAAGGTGACCTTTCTGAGCCTTAGTTTCCTGCTCAGTAAATGGGGATGACCACCTTAACTGGGCTGGGTGCTACTGTAGTGACATGTCACCTAGATCTGCAGTCCCCAACTCCTGGGCCGTGGACCAGTACTGGTCCGTGGCCTGTTAGGAGGTGAGTGGCGGACAAGTAGTGAAGCTTCCTCTGTATTTACAGCCGCTCCCCATCGCTCGTATCACCGCCTGAGCTCCACTTCCTATCAGATCCGCAGGGGCGTTAGATTCTCACAGGAGCTGGAACCCTCCAGCAAACTGCGCGTGGAGGGATCTAGGTTGCGCTCCTTACGAGAATCTAACGCCTGATGGTCTGAGGTGGGGCTGAGCGGAGATGCTCGCGCTGGGCAGTGGCTGCAAACACAGATCATCATTAGCAGAGAAGTTTGACTGCGCAATAAATGTGATGCGCTTGAATCATCCCAAAACCATCACTCCTCCCCGACTCCAGTGGAAAAACCGTCTTCCCTGAAACCAGTCCCTCATGCCAAAAAAGTTGGGGACCGCCGACCTAAATGATTTCTCTTAAGTAGTTGACAGATATTGGCACTTAGTTAACACTCAAATGTGAGTTACAATTTTTATTGATAACTGAAAGGTGAGCGGTGAGTGCAGAGCACTCCTACTGGTGAGCTCACCTCTTACTGACACTGCCCTCTCCTCCTCCCCGCTCCCTGCTCCTAGGTGCCTTTTTATAAAGTTCTCATTGGTTGAATGCTTCCTCTGTACCAGAGCCTGGCTGGAGCATCTTACAGTCTCATCCCACAAATAACGTACGGGGCACCTGCCCTGCACCGGACACTGTTCCAGATGCAGAGGGCACATGAGGGGACAAAACAAAGGTCCCTGTGCTTATGGGACTCAGGGTTGCAGGGGAGACACAGTGAGCAAATCAAGAAAACATAATAGGTCAGAAAGCAGGAAGAAGGCAGAGGGCACCTGGTCTGGGACTTGGAAAGGACGGTGGGGGAGGCCTCACTGAGGGTGAGGGTGGGGCAGAAGGAGGGACACTAGCAGGACCCACAGCAAGTGTAGGTGCCCTGAGGGCAAGGAAGCGGGCGATGGCCCGTCAGATGTAGGGCCGTCTGATGTAGGGCCTTGTCAGCTGTTGTGAGGACGTTTCACTTTTACTCAGGCAACTGGGAGGCACTACAGGGTTCTGAGCAGAGGAGAGGTCTGTGCTACATTTTAGAAGGACTAGTCCTAAATTTCGCATACGGCAGGTCTTGGGGGCCCAAAAACTTGCATTTGTAACAAGACCCCAGGTGGCACTGATGTTGCTGGTCCAGGGGCCACACTTTGAGAACCACGGGGCTGGGCTCCAGGTACAGAGTTCAGAAAACGTAATTATCCTGACCGATCTACTAATTACTGACGCAAGGTTGCCGTGTGCAGATGGTTGTCAGTTCTTTGATGTTTTAACCACAGAGGCCATGGATCCCTTTCATAAACTCTCCTGATCCTACTGTAAAATAAAATCTTGGCTAACGGTGCAAATAGGCAAAAAGGCAGGGGACGGCGTCACCCAGGCTGTTTTGAAGAGGAGACTCGGATAAGGGAGAGACAGGGAGACCAGCGAGAGAGCAGCAATCCGGGCGAGGCTGTGTCCCGTGGCCCAGGCTGGAGGCAGTGGAGGCGTGAGAAGACGTGGGCTCCGGGTACACTGTGAGGGCAGAGTCCCAGTGGATTCGATGTGGAAGAGAGAGAAACAAGCAAAAGGTCCCAAGCAATTGGGGGAGAGGTGCATTCACGGATTCAGAGTAGATTTTGGGGAAAGATCAGGGTTAGTTTTGCATGCGTAACAGATAATGAGAGTCACTGTCCCCAGGCAGATGACAAAGGGAATACAGAGTCCAGAGGAGAGCTGTGGATAGAATATAGAAGTCAGCTGCACTCAGGTGACCTTTAAAACCAGGGACCAGGAGGTTGACCAGCATGGTCCAGTGGCACTTACAGTGAGGACAGAAGTGTTCCGTGTCTGCTGTCCGAGGCGGCAGCCGCTGGCCACCTGTGGCTATTACTGAGCACTTGACTGTGGCAAGAGTGACACCCTGAGCTCTTTATTTCATTGATACTTTCTGTTTTTAGAGACAGGGTATCACTCTGTTGCCCAGGCTGGAGTACAGGGGCAGTCAGAGCTCAGTCCAGCTATGTGGCTACAGAAAACATGAAATGTGGCTAGTGCGACTCTAGGAACTGAATTTTTTTTTTTTTTTTTTTTTTGAGACAGAGTCTCACTGTGTTGCCTGGGGTAGAGTGCTGTGGCATCAGCCTAGCTCACAGCAACCTCAAATTCCTGGGCTCAAGCGATCCTCCTGCCTCAGCCTCCCAAGTAGCTGGGACTATAGGCATGTGCCACCATGCCCGGCTAATTTTTTCTATATATTTTTAGTCATCTGACTAATTTCTTTCTATTTTTAGTAGAGACAGCGTCTCGCTCTTGCTCAGGCTGGTTTCGAACTCCTGAGCTCAAACAATCCGCCTGCCTCGGCCTCCCAGAGAGCTAGGATTACAGGCATGAGCCACCGCGCCCGGCCAGGAACTGAATTTTTAATTGCACTTTGTTTTAACTGATTTCAGTGTAAACTGCCACCTGCGGCTAACAGCCCTTGTATGGCAAGAGCCACTTAGGAACTAAATTTTTAATTTCATTTTAGTGAATTAAAATTTCACGATTTAAAATTTTTAATTTCAGTTAATTAAATTTAAATGAAAATCTCCACCTGTGGCTGGTGGCTACCATGCTGGGCAGGGTAGGTACAGACAAGAGGATCCGAGGCTGAGCCCTGGGGAACCGCAGGTTTGAGGACTGGGGAAATGAGCATGAACCCCCAGAGGCGGCCAAGGAACAGCCCCGGAGGCAGGGGAAACCCAGGCCGCCGGGTGGGCAGGACACCAAGAAAAGAGCTCCAAGGCAGAGGGCACGTCCACTGGGTCACACGTGCCAACGCAAGTGACCCGAGACCTGATGGGACTCAGCCTCGTGGAGCCGTTCATCATAAGGCCTGCTCCCATTTTGCTGGGATGGGGACGCAGCGAGTGCTGGGGTCGGCATCAAATCCAGCGAGGGCAGGCTGCAGGGCTCGCCCCTTCTCATCGCGGTGACATGAGGCACATGGTAGGAAGCTGTGAGCTCCAGTTTAACTCTCAACAGCCTCGTGATACTGGGGTTACCCTTAGTTGATAGGGAACTGGCTCAGAGGGGACAGTGCTTGCTCAGAGTTGCACAGCAAAGAAAAGGTGCTCACAGGCTGGGCATGGTGGCGCACACCTGTAGTCCCAGCTACACAGGAGGCTGAGGCAGGAGGATCGCTTGAACGCAGGGGTTTGAGACCAGCCTGGGCAACACAGCGAGACCCCTGTCTCTAGAAAAAATGAAAGTGTTTACAGCCAGGTCTGTGACGCTAAGGCTTGTGCTCCTGCCACTCTGCTGTCGCCTCTGCTCAAAGGGAGCAACCCACTCCACCCAGCCCGTGCCCTAGTCCCGGGGGTCAGCTCTCTCTTCCAGGACCCAATTCCACTCCTCTTGCCTCTTTCCCTCAGATCCTGCCCTCATCTCCAGCGCCGCCGCCTCGTGGCCTGTGAGGATCTGGCAGATGGTAAAGATGGGGAGAGATGGCAAGAGGTGGCGGGAACGTCTGGGAGCAGAGGCTCACAGGCCCAGAGTGGGTGCGGAAGCGGTTACCTCCGCTCCTGCTGAAGTCTCCGCGTTATCCTTTGCACCTGGTGGAGCCTGTTCAAGACCCGCTCATTCACCTGCGAGGGGGGAAGAAAACACAAGTCAACTGGATGCCATTCACCCTCCCATACGTTTACTCAACGGGTGGTTGGCGGCGCACCCTCTACGTACTAGGCTCTGGGGAAACTGGCCAGGACCATCCCATGGCCTGAAGCCCTGCGTCAGCTACTCCTTCCCAACTTCCCATCCCCTCCGGTCATGCCGGCCCCAAGCTGATGCCCCACTCCCTAGGGTCTTAGCTCAATCGTCACCTGCTCAGGGAGTCCACCTGACCTGCTGTTAAGCTGCAACACCCCCTTCCCCAATTCTAGACGCCTGCCCACCCGTCCACTCTCCGCAGCTTTATTTTGCCTTGTAATGCTCATCTCATGAGATAGGACACATCGTATTCGCTTCTTTTGCTTATCCCCAGCCTCCCCAGGCAGAGCATGAACTCCACAAGGACAGTGACTTGGGCCTGTATCCCCAGTGCCTAGACCAGAGCCTGGCATTTGCTGAACAAACGACTTTGCATACTAATAAGTGCTTGGAGGACACCAGACAGACAGATATGCTAGAGATTAGGGGAGGAGGTGGCTTCTTTAGGTGGGCTGAGGCCTGAATGATGAGAAGGGGACAAATGAGTGAGAGCCAGGAGGAAAGCAAGCCAGGCTGAAGGAACAGCCCCTGCACAGTTTCTGAGGACCCTAGCCTAGACATGGGAGAGAGAGATGTGACTCAGCCAAATAGGGAGCCTAGGACAGTGGCTGAAGCCCATGATGCTCCTGGATCAGAAAGACCTGGGTTCAGATCTCAGCTCTGCCACTTCTCAGCTGTGTGAGCTTGGGAAAATTACTTAACCTCTCTGAGCCTTGGGTTTCTGCATTTGCAAAATGTGGATAATCTATTCCTAGGGGTGTGGATTTAGAGCATAGGCTTAAATTGAGTCCCTTTGGGCCTTGGTGTCCACCTGTTAAACGGGATTTGGAACACATCCCCAGGCTTCTGGCCTGCAGCCTCCCCACTTCCAGAACACCCAACACCACTGTTATGGGTTGAGTTGTGTCCCCCTAAAAACGTGTGGGAATCCAAACCCCCGGTACCTTAGAGTGGGACCTTATTTGGAGCTAGGGTCTTTACAGAGGTAATCAAGTTAAAATGAGGTCACTGGGGTGGGCCCTACTGCAATATGACTGGTGCCCTTATAAGAAGGGGAAATTGGGACAGATGGACAGACAGACACACACACGCACACGGAGAATGCCAGGTGAAGAAGGCAGAGATCAGCGTGAAGATTCACATGCCAAAGATGGCCAGCACACCACCAGAAGCCAGGGGAGAGGCCTGGAGCACATCCTCTCTCACAGGTCTCAGGAGGAACCAACACTGCCAGCAACCCTGATCTTGGACTTCCAGCCTCCAGAACTGTGAGACCATAGATTTCTGCTGTTGAGTCACCCAGTTTGTGGTACTTTGTTTTGGCAGCCCTGGCACACTGATAAAACAATCTCCAGAGAGTCTTTCAAGCATCCAGACCTGATCCGTCCCCTGTTTGAAACCCTCACTCTCAAGATTAAAAAAAAAAAAAAAAAATCGAAACTTCTTGCCCTGGTGTTCCTGGCCTGCCAAAATCTGGGCCCTACCTACTGCTCCATCCTTGTTCTCACTAATACAAGCATTCAGCCCAGACAATCTGAGTCTAGGGCAGCAGCCGTGGGGATGGGGGGCAGAGGGGGAGGAGGAGATAGATCCAAAGGAGATTCAAGAGGCAGAAAGGACTAGACTCAAAGAGTGATTCATGGCAGGGGTACAGGAGATTTGAAGAGCTTGGGCGGTGACCTGTGATCTGTGACGTGCATGAGAGGCACCTGTGAGACATCAGAGAGCTGATCTGGGTAGTCGGGGAAGCTCCAGAGGAGATGGCGCTCCAGGGGCCTGGCATAGGGCCAGACGCATAATGGATGCTAAATAAATGAACAGTGAATAAATAGAAATGAAAGCTTCATTCAGCTAGCCAGGGAGTGCTGGGCATGCGGACAGGCAGAGATCGGGAGGGATGGTGACTTAGTGCAGGGGACTCCAAACGGGGCAATCCGAACTCACCTACCTGCTCGATCTCCCGGCAGCGTCGACCCAGTGCCTGGTACTTTCTGCGATTTAGTTCCCGCTGGCGCCTCCTCCGACCCCGGGCTGCCTCTTCCTCCTCATCTCGCTCCCGCAGCCCGGAGCCACCCAAACCACCGGACACAAACTCCACTTCCGTCTCTAGCTCACTCTCCAGGATGTGACCACCGAAAAGGGGAGGCAGCGCCAACTCCGAGCCCGGCGGCGCTGAGAACTCGTCAAAGCCCACGGCTGCCATGGTCCTGAGAGGGAGAAAGGCTCAAGGACCCTGGATTCCTGGCCCCAAGACCTCCTCCTCCTCCAGACCCAAGAATCAGAGTCCTCAGACCCAGGATCAGGCCTCCAGCCCCTCCTCCCTCAGATCCTGGAGTCCAGGCCCCCAGCCCTTCCTTCCCAGCCCCCACAAGAGTTCGAGCCCTAACGCCCTCCTCCCAGGATCCAGACCTAGGCCATTCCTCCCCAAGAACCTAGGGGAGTCCAAGCCCTAACCCCTCACTCAGACCCAGGAGTCCACGCTCCAACCTCCTTGTCTGTCAGATCCAGGAGTCCAGACCCCTAGCCTTCTCTTCTCGCAGGATGCTCCAGTACAGACCCCAGTCCCTGAAGGGCTCTAAGGCAAAGCAGTTGCATGAACTACAATCCCCATCAGCCCTCAGGGTAAAAGCTCAGATGGTTGCACATTATACAGTCGCAATGTCTTTTGGGATTCGCAGTTTTTCGCAAAGGCTCAGCCACTTACCCCTCTCTCTGCTCCAGTTCCATCTCTCTTCTGCTCTGGGCGCACCAGGCCTCAGAACTTCCAACCTCTTAAACCTCAGCTTAAGCTGTTCCGAAAACTACCTGTCCCCATCAGGCTTCGCGGCCGAGGACGCCGGCCTCCTGGGAGTTGTAGTTTCCTGTTTCTGCCTTCACTTCCTCCCACCCCCACTTCTACCCTAGTCCCTGCTTAAAGGCCTTGTTTTCCCTTCTAACGGCGCCACCAGTAGTCTGGGTTGCCACGGTCTTTACGCTTGTCTCAACGCCCCGTCGTCCGGCCACTGCGATTCTCCGTTTAGCAGGCTCAGTCCACGGCGGGCCGTGAGTCCGGTTAAGTCCCCTCTCCGCTCTCCTGCTTACCGCTTCTCCGCCTAGCAGCAGGTACTAATAAAGTTGTTGTTCGAAACGCGGAGGCACGTGCGGGGCGGTGGCCAATCAGAGAGCAGCTTTGTATCGATAACGGCGCGAGTGTGAGACGTCATCGCTAAGCGACGATCTCTCTTGGGAAGCTTATTTCCTAGAAACCGCTGTGCGGGGAGAGAGGAGGTGCGTGTGATGGAGACGAGGGGAGGCTGGGAGGCCGTACCCCTGGGTCTAGGGGAGGTAATTTGTAAGAGAAAGGCGGGCCTTCATAGATTGGTTACCCAAAGGTATTTATATGCTCCTACCGTGGTATGGACCTAGGATATGTCAGGAGCAAAAATTGTTCCCTGCCTTCTTCGAGCTTTGCTTGATGCCTGCGATGCAGGCAATCGAATAAATTACTTAACCCCCAATATGTGAAGTGTCTTAGAGTGGACACACAGGCGTGCGGGGCGTGCATCACAAAGCCACCTCCTCTGGCCTGGAGTGGAGTGTGTAGGTCGAGGAGGTGGAATATGAGAGCTGAAGGCTGAGGAGGTGTTGGGCTAGTAAAGAGTGCGGGGAAGAGCCATTTTAAGGAGAGGGGAAGTGGTTGCAGGAAGACCTGGAGGTGCAAAGAAGTTGGTAAGCCGTAGCAAGGTGATGGTTGGAGGGGTGTGCTGCGTCTTGCCTGGGTAGGAGCTGGAGATACCTCAGTGAACAAAGCAAGCAAAGCACCTGTCCTTGTGGAGCCTGCACGCTAGTGGGGTTGATGAAGAAGGACCAGGGCCTTCTGGGGGAGAAGCCTCTCCCCATAATAAGGAGGGACTTAGTCAGGGCAAGGTTTTAGGGAACCCTGCTATCCCTCCTACAGGCCTTGGGATGTCTCTGGCAGACGAGCTCTTAGCTGACCTAGAAGAGGCAGCAGAAGAGGAGGAAGGAGGAAGCTATGGGGAGGAAGAAGAGGAGCCAGCGATCGAGGATGTGCAGGAGGAGACACAACTGGATCTCTCCGGGGATTCAGTCAAGAGTATCGCCAAGCTGTGGGACAGCAAGATGGTAAGAGGACATGAGGCACACAGGGCTATAAATGGAAGCTCCTAGAAGGGAGTGATATGGGCAACAGATCTTTTTTTTTGAAGTGTCCTGGGTTCTGACTGTACTCTCCTTCCCTAACAGTTTGCTGAGATTATGATGAAGATTGAGGAGTATATCAGCAAGCAAGCCAAAGCTTCAGAAGGTACTTTCCACTCTTCCCCTCCCCTGTCTGTTCTCCTGTGGGGCCCCTTGGCTCTTTCACTGCTGTGGCTTCCAAAGTTGGACGTAACTTTCAGCCTTTTCCAGGGCTGTTTTCTTTTCTTCCATCCCAACCCAGTCCCCTTCTCCCCCCAAAATATATTGCATTATAAAGCTGATGCTTCTTAAGTTCTTACTCTGTGCCGAGCACTTACTAATTGTGATAGGCTTTATCTCAAGGTTTCCCAAACTTTGGTGATTCATGTGACCACTTACAGGGTTTTCATCATATCTGTCTGTAAACTACTTGTCCTATTTAACATTTTTTGAATCACAGACGTTTTTCCTCAAATTTACCTAAAAAGTAAGTGAATCACTACTGTGAATGGAAAACTGGTATTATTTGGTAAAGACTGAGTAACCATACAAAATGGTTACATAGTTATTAAAGTATCACTTGACGCTTTTGTCACTTCCAGCTTAGGGGCTAGGGAAGAATTGACACCTGCATTGGACTCTGGAGCAGGAATACAAATGCCAGGCAAAGAAGGGGAGGAAGGGGCCCAGAGAAAGAAAATGGCATGCCCAGAGCCTCAGACAGCAGGAGTGCAAGGACAGGCTCAGGAATGTGCCAAATCCTACAGGGTTCCAAATGCCAGGCTGGAGAAATTCTTGATTCAGAGACCCGTGAGAAGCCACAAAAAGCGATATTTCTTGATGTTAGGCCAGTCTCAGGTTTTTAGTCAGATCCGATCACACCTGGTGTCTGGTGTGGAGAGTAGACGTGAAACATTTCAAAACCTTGTGGCAATCCGTGTGTAACGGAGGTGGCACAAGTGCCATGGGAATGCGGAGGAGGCATCTGACCCTCCCAGAAAGGAAGTGAAGGATTCTTAGTCGCCGTGTGAATCTTAAGCATTATAAAGGCATTTCAGCATCAGGGTTAAGAACACAGACACTAGCCAAGTGCAGTGGCTACTAGGGAGGCTGAGGTGGGAGGATTACTTGAGCCCAGGAGTTCAAGACCAGCAACATAATGAGACTCCGTCTCTTAAAAAAAGAACACAGACTCTAAAGCCACTTTACCTGGGGTCAGATCTCAGCTCTGCTGTCTACTGGCTTCAGTGACATCAGGCAATGCCCTCCATTTCTTTCTCTGCAAAATCGGTCTAATTTAATGCCTACCCTCCTGGGTGGTTGAGGATAAGTAAATACCTGTATGACACTTAGAACAGCATCTGACTCAAGGGTAAGTCCTATACGTGTCGACCGCTACGACTACTAATGGTAATACTATCATCATCATCATCATCATAAATACCCTTGTTATTATCAAAGCACAGACACGAGAAAGGAATGTTCCAGGGGGAGGAAACAGCACATACAAAGGCCAGGAGGCATGAACAGCCTTAGGTGTTCAGGGCACTATAATCTGTCCTTTATGGCCGGAGTGTAATAAAACAGAAGGGGGTACAGTGAGAGGCCAGACTGCAGGGCTGGTCAGTCAACAGACAGCAATTGAGCAAGTCCAGTGCACTGGGTGCCGTTCTGGGTGCCAGGGCTGGAAACACAGACATAGCACTTATCCTTGCAGGGCTTCCAGTCTTTTGGGAGGCCTTGAATGTCAGTCGAGGGAGCTTGGTCATTTGCCTTGGGTGTGGGGAGCCACAGGCGAGTTTTGTTTTAGGGAAGGATGGGGTCAAGTGTAGACTGGCCTGGAACATAGATGAGGGGAAGAAATCAGAGAAAGGAACACGGATCCAAGGGACGTTTACAGACATGTCAACCTGTCCCCTTGTTTATGCTCGAGCCCCTCCTTCCTGGCCCCCTCCAGCAGCATCTTCAGTCTCCTCCAGCTGCGGGACCCAGGAGGGGGTAGGTGGTTAGACACAGACTCACACCTAGGCTGCTTCTCATCCTCACAGTGATGGGACCAGTGGAGGCAGCCCCTGAGTACCGGGTCATCGTGGACGCCAACAACCTAACTGTGGAGATTGAGAACGAGCTGAGTGAGTGCTGGGCGGGGCAGGTGCAGACAGCCCTCTGGGGGTGTTCCTTGTGCCCTCCTCCCCCTTCCCCACTGGCCTTTTCCAGAGTCTTGCCCCCAGGTCTTCATAATACTATTGTATTAGGTCAAATGCAGGTTCAGGGCTGGGCGTGGTGGTTCACGCCTGTAATCCTAGCACTCTGGGAGGCCGAGGCGGGAGGATCACTCAAGCTCAGGAGTTCAAGACGAGCCTGAGCAAGAGCGAGACCCCATCTCTACTGAAAAAAAAAAAAAAAAGAAAGAAAGAAATTAGCTGGACAACTAAAAATATGTATATAAAAAATGAGCCGGGCATGGTGGCACATGCCTATAGTCCCAGCTACTCAGGAGGCTGAGGCAGGAGGATCGCTTGAGCCCAGGAGTTTGAGGTTGCTGTGAGCTAGGCTGACGCCATGGCACTCTAGCCCCGGCAACAGAGCAAGACTGTCTCAAAAAAAAAAAAAAAAATGCAGGTTCAGCTGCCATAATAGAGTGGCTTAAATAAGAAAGAATTGCATTTTCCTTTTATGTAAAAGTCTGAGTGAGCAGTCTGGGCCTAGTGTAGCAGCTCGACCACCTATAGGGCCCAGGCTCTTTCTATCTTGTTGATCTGCCACCATTTTCACGGTGCAAAGTGACTGCCCTGCCTCCAGCCATCACCTCCACATTCCCACCAGCAAGGCGGGGAGGGAGGAGGAGAGCATGGTTCTTTTCTTGAAGAACATATTACCTCAGCTCACATCTTGTAGACCAGAACTAACTCATGTGGTCACAGCTAGCATTAAGGACAGCAGGGAAATGTTGCCTTTATGCTGGGTGTCCATGCACCAGGCTACGATTCGGGGGTTTGGCTGCTAAAGGAGGGAGGGGAGATGGATATTGGGGACAACCAGCAGAGTCTGCCTCCTGTCTCACCGGACACTCGCCCTTCCCGTCCCCCTAGACATCATCCATAAGTTTATCCGGGATAAGTACTCGAAGAGGTTCCCCGAACTGGAGTCCTTGGTCCCCAATGCGCTGGATTACATCCGCACAGTCAAGGTGAGTGGAGGGAATGGTGGCGAGCTCAGGAAGCACTGAGACTTCTCAACTGACCGCCACTGGTGTGAAGGGGGAGGCAGGGCCTGCCCTCAGACCCCCGGTCCGAGAGCCTCGAGGTCTGGAGATAAGGGAGAGGCGTGAACAGAGGCTCTGCTGCGCCCACCTGCTCAGCAAGGGTGGGGTGGAGCCTGGAGAGGGCTTTCTCACGGCCCCCTTCCTCCCCCTGGGCTCCTGAGAGGGGTTCCCTGCCGGCCTGACCTGAGCCCCTCCGCTGTGTCGGAGCAGGTGGCATTCAAGTGGAGATTGGAAGGCTGACGTGGGGGCAGCCACGCAACGGTTTAGGGGAAGGAGTCATCTAAGTGCAAAGAGCCTGAGAGGGGAACAAGCTCGGAGGAAGTGAGCAGGTGGAAGGAGGTGAAGTTGAAGAGGTCGGATGACATCGACCCTTGAAGGCTTTGGATTTTACCGGAAAGCAGAGGGAGGGTTGAAAAGAGGGGTAGGCGCAAGCGAAGGCAAGGAGAGGAGGAGGTCCCCGCATGTGTCCAGGAAAACGGGAGATGAGGCCGGTGGTTGGGGAGGTGCACGCAGGGAAGCGGGCTGTTAGGCTTGGTGTGGGCCGGAGGCTTGCTCAGGGCAGCAGGTCTTCCCAGGTGGCCGCTCCACTCGGGCTCCATTTCCGAGTCCGCCAGAGCAGAGAAGACAGTGCTCGTGCTTTGCGCAGTGACGTTCTTGGAACGGATAGGAGACGGGAGAGGACCCCGGTGTCCAGACCCCGACCCTAGAGACCCAAGTAGGTGCTGGGGCAGGAGAGGTTCTAGAGCCTTCCTGGGTTCCGCTGCTTCCCATCCCTTCCGTTCTCACCCCCAGGAGCTGGGCAACAGCCTGGACAAGTGCAAGAACAACGAGAACCTGCAGCAGATCCTGACCAACGCCACGATCATGGTCGTCAGCGTCACTGCCTCCACCACCCAGGGGTAGGTGCCCCACAGGGGAGGTGCAAGGCCTGCCTCAGGCCTAACAAAGACCAGAATGGGCCACGGCGTTGGCCAAGAGCTGAGGTTCCCAGCAGCCTCTGCATGCAGGCCCCTGGGGCTGGTGGGACTTGGGATGGCCCTGCCCTGAAAATGCGCGAACGTGTGCGCAGGCACGTGTGCGTGCGTACACACACACACACACACACACACATATACACACACACACACAGCTGAGAGGCGGGGCCCGTCCGCCCCTACAGGCAGCAGCTGTCCGAGGAGGAGCTGGAGCGGCTGGAGGAGGCCTGCGACATGGCCCTGGAGCTGAACGCCTCCAAGCACCGCATCTATGAGTATGTGGAGTCCCGCATGTCCTTCATCGCACCCAACCTGTCCATCATCATCGGAGCGTCCACGGCCGCCAAGATCATGGGTGAGGCCCCAGGGCTGCGTCCCACGGGCTGGGGGCTGCTGATGTGCTGTGTGACCTGGGGGAAGCCGTGTCCTTTTTCTATAGAATGGGGAGTTTGGCACCCTGTCCCCGGAGATCACAGAAGTCAACCAGCCTAGCACAGCCACAGAGGAAGGGTGAATATCCTCAGTCCCTGAGTCCTCAGCAGGACGGGGGCTGGGCAGGCTGCAAAGGAAGGAGGCCGCGTGGCCAGAGGAAAGGCTGGTAGATCTCGGCAGTTCCCAGCTCCACCGTGGACCCATGGGGCAGCCTGGGAGTAGTAAAGTTGGCTCTTTGAGCCTCAGTTTTCTCTGCAAGATGGGGACACTAATCCTGGGATTAAACGATGCGTCCCCTCCTTCCCAGGAGCTCTCTGTAGTCTCAGAGTGCCCCCTTGGACTCCTCCCCTCCAACCAAAAAAGACTTCTGAGGGGAGTCTGGTGAAGCACCCGTACCGGGCTGCCAGGGCTGCCGTAACAAAGTGCCTCACTGGGCAGCTTAAACATCAGACGTTTATTTTCTCGCAATTCAGGAGGCTGGAAGTCTGAGATCGAGCTGGCGGCAGCGTTGGTTTCTCCTGAGGCCTCCAACCTGGGCTTGTAGGTGGTGTCTTCTCCCGGTGTCTTCACATCTGTGTCCTGATGTCTTCATATAAGGACACCGGTCAGATTAAATTAGGGCCTGCCCCAAGGACCTCATTTTAACTTAATCACTTCTTTAAAGATCCTTTTCCAAATAGGGTCACATTCTGAGGTGTGGGGAGTTAGGACTTCAATGTACGAATTTTGAAGGGACAGCTTAGCCCCTAACAGCTGCCTCGGGTGGAAGGTGCGTGCCAACTTGCAGAATAGAAAGAAGCGGTGGTTTGGGGCAGGATAGACCTGGGTGTGGATCCTGGCTCTCCTCCCTCCCCCATTGACCTCACATTCTTGGGCAAGTGATTTCACATGCCTCAGTTTCCCTAGTGGTGATGCGGCGGGTATTGATTTCCTATTGCTGCTGGAACACATTTCTGCGTGTGTAGTGGCTTAGGTGATAACATTATCCTCTGGCTCTAGAGGTGAGATGCTTCGCACTCACTGGGCTAAAATCAAGGTGTCAGCAGGTGCGTTTGCCTATGGAGGTTCTAGGGAGAATCTGTTTTCTTGCCTTTTCTGGCTCCTAGAGGTGCTTGCGTTCCTTGGCTCGTGGCCCCTTCCACCATCTTAAAGTCCTCTCACGCGTCACTCTGGCCCTGGCTCTTCTGCCTCTCCCACCTCTAAGGACCCAGGTGTGACTGCGTCGAAGCCACCCAGATAGCCTGCGTGGAAGCTCGCTTGAGGGATCCCTTTGTCTGAGACAATTCACCTAATCTTCAGAACAGCCAGCCCAAGGCCTGGCACACAGCCAACGCCCCTCAGTGGCAAGGACGCTTAACCTATAGCTCCTTCCCTCTCCCCTGCGCCAGCCGTGAACAAGCTCGCTGGACACCCAAAGGTGAACCACATCCAGGGCCTGCCATTAGGAGCTTCTGGTTTGGTGAAAACGGTTCCAAAACACACAGATGTGATCTCCATAATGGGGACAGTGTGGCTCAGCACAGACTTTGGGGTCAGCTCCCTGTTGGGCCACTTCCTCACTGTGCATCCTCAAGCAAGTTGCCTCCCCTCTCTGAGCCTCCTTCCAGTCTCCCCTCTATGGAATAGACGGGTCAGCGCTCCCTGGCAGGGCCACCAAGGGGAGCCAACCAGAACCTCACGTAAAGGCGCACAGCACGTGGCGAGCCCCCAGTCCCATGCCCCTGTCGGTTTCTCCTGACTCTCCCCTCCCTCCCGCTGCAGGTGTGGCCGGCGGCCTGACCAACCTCTCCAAGATGCCCGCCTGCAACATCATGCTGCTCGGGGCCCAGCGCAAGACGCTGTCCGGCTTCTCGTCTACCTCAGTGCTGCCCCACACCGGCTACATCTACCACAGCGACATCGTGCAGTCGCTGCCCCCGGTGAGCCCAACGCGTCGTCCCCCTCAGCCTCCCAGCTCCCATGGAGGCTTCTGCTGTGCCCGGAACAGCCTGAGCAGGTCACCCCCTGCCCCTCCCCGGCACAGCTGACAGTAACGGTCAGGGGAGCATGGGGCGCGAGAGCCAGGGCGCGGCAGCGGGCAAGCACTGGGGCTGGGGCTCTGGAAGCACCATCCACCAATCGGGAAACCTCGGGCAAGAGGCGAGAGCTGTTCCGTGCCTCAGTCTCCTCCTCTGTAAAACGGGGAGAACAGTATCTGCTACACAAGGTTGGCGTGGTGTATACCAAGCACTTACCCATCAGGCCTAGCACATAACAAGTGACACAGGGTTAGGTGCGGGGGCGGTTCCCCAAACCAGCCTCAGGTTCCATAACTCACTGGAACGACTCCTAGAACTCACAGACCTGCCGTGCTCAGGGTTGCGGTTTATTACAAGGACGGGGTACAGATTAACATCAGCCAGGAGGAGAGAGACGTAGGAAGGATCGAGAGGAAGTTATCAGTCTCAGAGCTTCCGGTGGTCCTCTCCCCGCAGTCAGGACGCCGTACCCTCCCAGCACTGATGTGTGACAACACGCACAGATCACCAGCCAGGGACGCTCACTGGGCCTCAGCGATTAGAGTCCTCGCTGGGGCTCGGCCGCGTGGACTCCATTGATTTGTACGTGCAGCTGATCTCAGTCTTCGGGTCAACTAACGTCCCGTAGCGCAGGCCCCACCCCGAATCGCAGGCTCGGTCTTTCCTGCGTGGCCACCCCTCACCCCCTAAACCACATCGTGACCATCTGCCCAGCCCAGGGCCCCAGGCCAACAAAGACCACTGCCCAGGTGCCCAGGGCAAGGGCTACACCTCTTCTTGGGCAAGGTTAAATTCTTTGCCACACATAGCTGCTGCTAATTTTATTACTTTTACTGTTATCTTCATTATTATTACTAATTCAGTCTCGTGCCTATGGGTTTTACATGCACCCTCTTGGTGTTTCCTAGAACACGGGCCACCTC